CTCCGGCGCGCGGCCGACGGCCGTCGACGAGCTCGGGCGGGCGCCGCTCCACCGCGCCGCCGCGGGCCTGGGCGCGGGCCACGCGGCCTGCGTCGACGTCCTCCTCGACGCCGGCGCGCCCCTCGCGCTCCGCGACCGGGCCGAGCAGTCCGCGCTCCACGCGGCCGCGCGTTCCGGCTCCGCGGCGGCGGCGCGCGCGCTCCTCCGGCGCGACGGCGCGGCCGCGTGCGCCAACTGGCTCGACCGCTGGGGCCGGCCGCCCCTCGCCTGGGTCGCCCTCCGGGACGACGACGACGAAAGTTTGGCGGTCGCGAACACGCTCCTCCGCGGCGGCGCGGACCCGGCACCGCCCGTCCTGAGGCCGGGCGTCCTCCGCCGCAAGACGAACCTCGCCCCGGAATCACCGTTGGCCATCGCCGACCGCCGCGGCAAGACGGCCCTCGTCGCGCTCCTCGCCGCCGCCGCCGCGGCGACGCCGCCGAGGCCGCCTAAATGACGGATCTCAGGGGGTAAGCGCGGGCTGTTGTCGACGCCGTTGGACGCTTGCGGCAGATCGATCGGTGGACCGCTCGCCTGGACGTGACAATACCTGCCGCGCCGCACCGTCCAGAGCGACGACAAAGGGCGATTTGAACGCTTCGAAGCCATGGCAGAGCGTCGTGTCGAGCCTTTCATTCCGGGCGACAGGGAAAGTTGGGCATTGACGCGACAGCTGTTCGGAATTGACGCAACTTTGTGCCTCGCCGCTAGTCATAGCAACTATTTTGAGGCGCTTCGCGCCCTCTGGGGGGGCGCATCTGTCGATGCAGTATTTTCAGCTAGGAGCGCACTCAGCACGGCGTGCCACGCGGGCTGTGTCGAGATCGCGGAGCTTCTGCTTGACCGAGGCGCCTGCGTCGACGGTGTGCCCGAGGAAGTCGGCCCGCGCCAGGAGGAAGTCGACGCCGGGGCCACGGAGGCTGCGACATCGCTGTTCTGCGCGTGTGCGGGAGGCCACATCGAGACGGTCCAACTTCTGCTCTCGCGCGGCGCTTCCATCGACCGCGAGTTCGGGCTCCGCGGCTTCGGGGCGCCGCGCGGTTCTGCGAGTGGTTCGCTCGAACTGCTTTATGTCGCGATTCGATTGAATTCTACTGAAATTGTAGAAGCGCTCCTCGACTCTGGTGCCAAGGTAAACATGGTTGATAACAAATATCTTTCACCGCTGATGTTCGCGTGCCAGTACAGATCAAACAGCGCAGATCGTGGCATCGGAATGGTCCGGCTCCTTTTGGATCGCGGCGCGGAAATAAATCAGCGGCATCCCCAGAATGATGATATTTCGGCGCTCTTCTTGTCATGCCACAACGACGACATTGCCTTAACAAGGTTCCTACTCACGCGCGGCGCGGTCTACGACGATCATGCCGCGATCCGGTGCGCGCGACGCTTCGCTTCATTCGAACTGAACAAGCTCTTCTTGCGCTTCTTTCTGTATAAATGGAGGCTCTGGGTGAAACTCGGCGTCATCGGCGCAAAGACCACCACGCAATTCCGGGTCCTCTCTGACGGGCACCTCATGAGTTACCTCATTTCGTTCCTCATCGGACCCTGGATAATATGGAAGTGAAGTAAGATCCCCCCGCCCCTCGCCCTAGATGTCGACGGCGTCCTTCTCCTCGCCCCAGGCGACCTGGTCGTCGTCGGCGGCGGCGAAGGGGTTCGACGTCGCGTACGCGGGCGCGGCGGCGGCGAACGCGGTATGTCGGGGCCCGTTGTCGAAGGTCGCCGCGAAGGGGTCGCTCCGGGCCGCCGGCGCCGGCGCGCGCACGTGGTCGCTCAGGTCCGCGTCGTCCTCGAGGCTCGACGCGCGGAGCCGGCCCGGCGACCTGTCGCGCGCCGCGGGCGCGCCGTTGACGACGTAGTCGTGGTTCACGGCGATGTACTTGTGGAGCTGCGCGTAGAGCTCGGCGGCGCCGTTGGGCTGGGGGATGGACGTGTCCCGCAACAGCCGGTCGGCCGACACGGACTCGCCGTAGAACGCGTGGTTCACGTCGCGGCGCACCGTCACGTACGCGCCGTCGACGGTGACGCCGCCGAAGAAGCCGCGGCTGTGGCTGTAGGACGCCTGCTGCGCCGTGCGGCCCGTCTCCGACACGAGGGTCGCCGCCTCGCCCGTGCGGCCCAGGGGACCTAAAGCCAGCGACGCCGCGCCGCCTAAACTCACCTTGGCCGCGGCCTCGTCGCAGAGCTCCGCCAACGCGACGTCGCCCAGCGCCGTGACCGAGTCCGTGACCTCGGCCCCGACGACGGCCCCGAAGGTCAGCCCGTAGGTCCCGACGGCGCAGGGCGGGCTCCAGGTGCCGTCGTCGCGCCGCGCGACGACGAGGCCGCTCCCGAAGGAGATGCCGCCGATGAACGCCGCCTTGAGCGTCGTCACGAAGAGCACGCCGCGCGCGCCGTGCAGCGCCCGGTGCACGTAGGCCTCGTCGCCGCTCCAGTAGTTCAGCCCCTCCGTCAAATTCTTCAGCGAGAACGCCGCCTTCTGCACCTCCTGCTCGAGCGCGTCCGACTCATAGAAAGGGAGCGGGATGTTCATGTAGCGGAGCGTCTCGTCCTCCGTGCCCATGGCCGGCCGGTGGCTCCGCGCGACGCGCTGGGCCCAGCGCTTCTGGAAGGGCTTGAGCGTCTCGCAGCAGTAGTTGCACACGCGCCGGGGCTCGGAAAAGTCGAAGTCCGCCTCCGCGTACGGCGCCCACCGCTCGCCGGGCAGCAGCATCTTCCGCCGGCTGCAGGCCCCGCAGACGACGCGCCCGCAGAAGCGGCAGTGGTGGCGCCACTCGAGGAACGCGTCGAAGGGCCGCCCGCAGGCCACGCCCAGGTCCGTCGCCGCCATGCACGCCGGCGCGGACGCGTCGGGGATCCACTCGGGCGGCCGCAGCGGCAGGTACTCCTCGCTCGCCTCCGGTTCGCGCCCGTAGGTCTTGCCCTTGTATGTTGCCATCGCGCGGCGGCGCGCGGCACCAGCAGCGACGGAGGTTTCGCGCGCGCAGGGTGACAAACAGGCGGCGCGGACGGTCCTTTCGACGTCACGAGCTCGAGCTTCGAGAGCCACAGGCTTGGAAACATTTTCCCATCAACATCGATGTCAACCTTAGCCCTCGGCCGCGGCGTCAACCAGCGTCTCCGTGAAGCGCGCGATCCAGTAGGGCAGGTAGAGCTTCCGCAGGTCCAGGTCCCCCCGGGCGTCCGCGGCGCGGATCCGGGCGAGCTCGCCCTCGAGGAAGGCCGGCGTCACGCCGCGCCAGTCCCGCACGCGGACCACGGGCAGGCCGTCGTAGAGGGCCGCCATCGCGGGCGACGGGTCCCAGTCGACGAGGGCCGCGGCGCCCGCGGCGAGCGCCTCCCACGGCGGTGTAAACCTTGAATTCAAGACCCTTCGGAATGCTCCGCGGCCGAGGCTTACAAAAGCGAGTAGTCGGCGTCGGTGACCGACGACCGGTGGCTGAAGCGGCACCTCGACCCGTCGCGGCAGCCGGCCGCGGTGGCGAAGAAGCGGCACGGGGTTTCGGCGGCGGGGCGGCGATGCCCTCGGTTCTCGCGGGACCCGTTGCCCTGCGCGAAGCCGCCGCGGCTGGGGCTCGGCGACCGCGACCGCCGGCGATGCCCTCGGTTCTCGCGGGACCCGTTGCCCTGCGCGAAGCCGCCGCGGCTGGGGCTCGGCGACCGCGACCGCCGGCGATGCCCTCGGTTCTCGCGGGACCCGTTGCCCTGCGCGAAGCCGCCGCGGCTGGGGCTCGGCGACGGCGACCGCGGCTGGCGGAAGAAGGGCCGCGCCGCCGCCCTCGGCTCGCGCGGCGCCGGCCGCGGGTCGTAGGCCGGCCTCGGGTCGTGGGCCGGCGCCCGCGACGCCTCGCGCCGCTCGTCCCGCGGCGCCGGCCGCGGGTCGTAGGCCGGCCTCGGGTCGTAGGCCGGCGCCCGCGACGCCTCGCGCCGCTCGTCCCGCGGCGCCGGGCGCGGGTCGTAGGCCGGCCTCGGGTCGTAGGCCGGCGCCCGCGGGACCTCGCGCCTCGGCACCCGCGGCGCCTCGCGCCGCGGGTCGTAGGCCGGCGCCGGCGCCGGCGCCCGCGACGCCTCGCGCCGCGGGTCGTGGGGCGGGTCGTCGCGGTCGAGCTCCCTCCGGAGCGCCTGCGCCGACCGGACGCCGCGGGGCAGCCGCTTCTCGCGCGCGCGCCGGCCGGGGCTCGGCGGGCTCTCCGGCTCGGGCGTCGGGCTCCGCGGCCGGCGCGGCGCGGGCGCCGGCGCGGTCGTCGTCACGGACGCGAGGATCGACGAGAGCAGCGGCTGCGCGGTCTTGGCCCGCTTCTTCGGCACGACGATCGCGGGCTTCGCCTTGGGCGCCTGGGGCGCCGCCGGCCGGCTCCGCTTCGGCGCGTCGGCGCGCCGCGCGGGCCGCGCGGCTTCCGCGGGCCGCGCGGCTTCCCGGGCCGCGCGCGCGGACCGGTACTCGTCGACGACGTCCCGCACGGCGGACCGATACGCGTCATCGTCGCGCACGGCCATCCTCGCGCGGGACCGGCGCTTCGCGGCCTCGGAGCCCCGGGGGCCCGCGGCGGCCGCGGCTTTGTCGTACTCGTCGCGGACCGTCTTCGTCGCCTCGTCGTAGAACCGCTCCCGGAAGAAGCCCGCGGCCCGCTTCTTGCGCTTCGCCGTCGCCACGTGGACGCACCCGCGGAACATCTCCAGGGGCGTCGCGTAGACGGCGTCGCCTTCGACGAACTCGAAGTCGCGGTCCATGTCCCGCGGCGCCGCGGCGCCCGCGGCCTCGAGCGCCGCCGCCGAGTAGAGGTAGGAGAAGGCGATCATCCGCGAGCCGTCGGTCGCGCGGTAGATGTCCTCGACGCGCACGGCCCAGAGGCTCCCGGACTCGCCCTCGTCGTCCTCGGGCAAAAAGACGATGGGAAAGAGCCCCCCGCGGACGTCGTCGCCCGCGCCGCGCCGGAAGGCGAAGGTCTTGCCGCCGTAGTCGACCTTGCAGCGCGTGTAGGCGGTCCGCAGCTCGCCCCGGGCGACGACGGACTCGTCGACGAGGACCTCGAGCGTCTGATCCGCGACGAAGAAGCGCGGCGCCGCGTCGGCGTCGCGCGGCCACGTCCGCGAGAAGAGGCCCATGCGGCTCGGCTGCGGCCGCGGCGGCTTCGGCTCGCCCACGGTCACATCGACGCCGTCCGGCTCGTCGTCCCCCGTGAGGTCGACGACGGCCGGCGCGTCCGCGTCCGCTTCCGCTTCCGCGTCGTCGCCCGTGAGGTCGATGCTCGGCGGAACCTCCTCCTCCTCCGTCGCCGCGGACGCCTCCTCGTCCTCGTCGTTGTTGTAGACGGCCAGGAGCTCCGCCCCGGCCTTCACGTCCGCGTCGACGCGCAAGCACAGCATCGGGCGGTCGAAGTGCTTGATCTTCCAACTGACGGACGGCGGCGTCGCGCCGCGCGCCTCGTTGACAAAGTAGAAGGCCGCGCAGGGCGGCGACGGGCTCGCGCCGCCCCAGGGCCGCAGCTGGAAGTAGCCGTCGCCCGTGTCGACGTAGGAGTCGTCCTCGTCGCGCGGCGGACGCCCGGCGACGTAGAGCGCCGTCGCGTCGATGAGGACGTCGCCCCTCCGCAGGTCGCGCGTCGCCACGAGGCCGCGGCCGTGGACGACGCCCTCGCGCGCGATGCGCACGCTCGTGCGCAGCGCCTTGGCGTGCTTGAGCACGTCGGCGGCGAAGCGCGGCGCTTCCGGGCGCGCGTAGCGCGGAATCATCGCGCGAAGCTTCTCGGCGCTCCAGACGTCGCTCCGCGCGAAGGGCGCCTCCGCGGACTGGCGCGGCGTGTCCGCGTCGTCGGCCATGGTGTGCTTACTAGTAGGTAGCGACTCAGCGCAGCGGCCAGACTGGGCTCATCGCGCTCCGACCTGAATAGCTGCAATGTGAGGTGCATCGACGCTTCAACGCTTCAGCCTCGAGGTGGGCAGCCTCTTCTTCCGGGTGTCGCGCCGCCGCCGCCACCGGCCATGCGGCGGCGCAACGTCGGGAGCGAGAACACGGACGTCGAGGGCGAGGAGCTGCCGCCGGAGCCCGAGCCGCCGAAGGCGCCGGAGATGGAGCTCCTCGACGAGATCTTGCTCATCATCACGTACCAGCCCATGGCCATGTTCGTCGTCATCGCCATGGCCATGGCCATCGTCTACTTCGCCATCTGGTGCATCATGCCGCCCCACTTCTGCCGGCGCTACGTGCTCGTGTGCCGCTGGACGCCGGCGGCGTGCGCGTTGGACTTTTCGCTCTGCGCCGGCTGGATCGTCGACCCGAGCATGGCGCGCTGGGCCGCGCTCCCGCTCCGCGTCTACCGGAAAATCGCCGGCGAGGAGAAGGAGAACACGCTCGACTTCTCGCCGTCCCGATGGTGGAAGTGGCGCAAGAAGTCGCTGCTGCCCACGTAGGGCGCCTCCCGACCTACGAGCCCGCGCGCCGTCGTAAGGGGAGGACGGGCCCTTTACATCTTCACCTTACGCCTCGTCGAAGTAGCCGTCGCTCGCGTCGGGCTCGGGCGGCGCCTTCTTCTTGCCGCCGAAGCCGCCGCGGAAGAAGCGGCACATCTTGACGACCGCGCGCGTCTTCCGCCGGTGCTCGTGGCGCTCCGCGGCCACGCGCATGACGGCCTGCTTCTTCGCCTTCTCGTCGCGGTGGTGCTGGACGCGCGCCTGCATGTCGCGGATCTTCTGCCGCTCGGCCTCGAGCTCGTCGTCCCGGACGGCCGCGAGGACGACGGCCGCCGCGACGTCGTTGAGCTTGGCGACGTAGACGCCGCGGCTCGCCTTCTTGATGCCCGCCGTCGCCAGGCGCTTGCCGTAGGCCTCGCAGAACCGCGGGAAGTTGGCGGCGACGCGATCGCGGAGCTCCGCGGCGACCGCGGCGCCGCGGTTCCGCCGCGCGAGCGCCTGGAGCGGCGTCGCCCCGGCGTGCATGCGCTTCACGCGGTCCCGGCCGAACTTGGCCCGCGCGGCCGCCTCGATCGCGATGGCCCGGGCCTTGCGCAGGCGCGTGCGCCGGAGCCAGCGGTGCATCTGCACGTTGATGCGCGCGATGGAGTAGTCGATGTGGCGCGCGAGGCGCCGCCGCCGCACGGCGCGCATCATCGCCTCCTGCAGGCGCAGGTGGGCCCGCTCGTAGTACAGCATGGCGACCTTGCGCGCCTTGTAGAGGGAGACGTCGCAGCGGCTCACGGACGTCGCCGGGTCGTCGTCCTCGTTCGACGCGCGGATCGGGACCATGCCCGCCGTCAATATATAATCGTCGGTGGGAATCCGCACGGTCGCGACGCCGTCCTTGTCCGTCTTCGCGACGTAGCGCGTGCGCCGCCGGCGCGTCACGAGGATCAGCGGGATGCCCTCGAGCGACTCCGCGCCGTCGTCCTTCGACCCCGGGCCCCAGGTCTTGGCGCGCTTCCAGTTCCGCAGGAGCTTGTTCTTCGCGACGGCGACGTTGAGTAGCCCGCCCGCGGACGTGATCGTGTTCTCGTACTTGGCCTCGCGCGCCTCGTAGGTGCTCACGTGGATGTGGCCCGCGTCGTCGGGGTTGAACTTGCCCAGGTCGTCGGGCTTCGCCTCCGCCTTGAGCTGCTCGTCGTCGTCGAACTTGCCCTTCATGTTCGCCTTCGACCGCGCCTTCAGCGAGAAGACCCAGGTGTGGAGCTTGGGCTCGAGCTCGATGGCGTAGGGCCGCTCGGGCGCCGCGTTGTCGAGGCGCACGGCCGGGCCGCAGTGCGCGTAGTAGGTAGGGGTGAGGCGGTCGGCCACCAGGGGCTTCGCGGCCTCCTCCTCCGTCAGGAACTGCTTCATCTGCTCGCTCCGCAGGTGAGACCCGACCAAGGGGATGTGGGCGACCATGTAGGTGCCGCAGGCCTCGACGTCGAAACAGGCGACGCCGTCTTCGTCCGTCGTCACGGCCAAGCCGGACACGCGCTCCCAGGCGTGCTGCCGGTCGTTGTCCAGGTCCTGGTGCGCGGAGACGCGGTCCCAGGCCTTGCGGAAGGAGCCCTGGACGCTCGACTTCTCCTCGACGA